TACCATCCACTTGGACTAGATGCAATTAACGAAGCAATATCTCAAATTAGACGTGGCCACCGAAAATAGAGGATGACCCACACGAATATTGTCTCTCCCTCCTCCTGCTCCACCACGTACATTGCCTCCCTCGCAATATTCCACTGTGGCCACTTTTGGTCGCTCAATAAACTTTGAGAGTGGTGCTCGTCAAGGAGTACGTCATCTGCTACCGTTTCTCCTTGGACGTTTGTGATGAATTCGGTTACATGTGGTGGGAAGAGCCACCATCGTTTACGGCCGACAATGTTGGTGGACCAAGAGTAAGAAGTATCTGGTTTTATGAGATGTGAGTTGGGTGAAGTGATTTGAGTTGTGATAGACGCACATACATCTCGGTGTAATCGAGTAAATGTCCCGGCTGGTCCCATATACTAGTTTGGTTCATTTGTTACATACACGTCGTGTCGAGAAAGTAAACACACCACGAAGCGAAAGTCATCCTCTGTTTTGGCTAGATAGTACCTGTTCATCCAGTCGTCTACGAATATATCCGGGGTGACATAGAATGGCATGTACACTGTCGTTTGTTCTTCTTGCTCTCCTTCTCCATTACTTTGAGGTCTCTGCTGCTGACGTTCGAGTTGTAGAGCCAGATGCCAATCCTTGACGTACATCTTTTCTTCCTGTGCACTTTTTCTGTCGTTCTCCCAAGCATCAATCACCTCTCCTAGTGTCTTTTCAGAACGGTATCCGTCTTGGTCAACGGGTACGATGAATTTTCCATAGGTGTTCTTCATGAAGGAGAGGTTGGGCAGAGAGTATTCGCTACTCTGTTCGTGTGAGGCATTCGAGTCCGATGAGGTCTGAGGTGACCTCCAATCTTTCAAGCAGTTCCAGTCTTGGATCAAGGCCGGCCCGATGAGTAGAGGCTGGTTAGGCAATAGGTGCTGCCCTCGAAACTCGTCGTAGGTGATATTTGGAACGCGTCTGATCTGCTTCGGTACACTCATCACGTATATTTTAGTATTCTACTTTAGATAATGTGATAGATGCGGATACTGAAATGGGTGGATGAGGCAAGCTGGGGCCGGGTCGGAAACTACCTTGGATCTTACCACTCTACGGCTTCGTAGCTATTACCTTCGTCCTGGAATTACCAAGAGTCAATCGGACCTGGGTACTCCTCTCGTTGATCATCGCCCTTGTCTCTTTGTTTCTCTATTTCCAACAACAGCCAGTTGATGTACGTCTCATAGCTATCTTACTCATATTCTCGGATTGACATTGTCTTATGAACTCAGAGTAAAGGAACAAACCTTGATAAAGAAGAATTTGAAAGCAAACCTGCTCAAAGCTCTTCTGTTCTTAAACGTTCTGTTCTTAAACATAGAAAACCTCAAGTCACGATGGCAGCCTCTCGCGTTCTCAGTTCCGTTACCGTGAATGCCTCGACAAAACATACAGCCACTGTTATCTTTCTACATGGCCTAGGAGATAGTGGATATGGATGGGAGCCCGTTGCAAAGATGCTTGCTCGGAATCCCAAGCTCTCACACATCAAATGGGTCCTTCCCAATGCGCCCAATCAATCTGTCACTCTCAATTTTGGTATGAAAATGCCATCGTGGTTTGATATCCGCTCGTTGGATAGGGACTTGACGGCAGACGATGGCGGAGAAGATGCCGACGGAATGCTTGCTTCTGCTATGAGTGTCAACAGGATTGTCACTACACAAGTGGACGATGAGAATATTCCTGCTAATCGTATAGTCGTGGGAGGCTTTTCTCAGGGTGCTGCGCTCAGCTTACTTACTGGATTGACGAGCGAGAGGAGACTGGCTGGATTGGTGTGCCTGAGTGGATGGTT